TTTTTCTTTTGAGTTGGGTTGCGCGCGTGTACATGTGTTAGGAACCTTAATAAGGCAACGAAGGAGCCCTGAATTTTACGAATGTATCCGTTATTATTTTCCGTGTTCACACTCTTTTTATGGTGTCTTTTAATGCTTCACACAATTTCCATAATGTTCAGGCTCGAACAAAACCGTTTGTTAATTATAAATTGTCCTCTAAGAAAGAGACCCGGTACCTTGTATGATTCTCCTTCCTACATGCCTCTTTTATTTTCTACGTGTCGCAATTCTTCTCTTAATCAATTAATTAATCAACTGCAATACATTTTATTTAATGATACATCGTATATTGATACAAAAGAAAAAAGAGAAAACTACAAAGCAATTACGCAAAAAGCTTGTGCCACGATACCTACACATTGTAATGTGGTCTGTTCCAAATTACAGCGTTTCATAGCGAAAGTATATGGATTATATATAAATGAAAAAATTAAACAGTGTTCGTCGTACAAATTTCGAATATTTCGTGTATGATACTACGATTGATATAAAAGCTGAACAAAAACAAAACCTGCCGCGGTTAAACACAGTGATTGGCCCTATCGAATATTTCATCAGTTATTACTTTTCGTGCAATTCCTAGACAACCATCCCAGACAAAAAGCTCTCAAAAAATATATAAATATAAAATACCTTTCTTTTTATACCAACAAATGTTTAAATTTCTTTTTTCTTTTTTTTTTTCAATGAAACGTAAGCACAATCGAACAGAGTACAACATTCGTAAAGTTCAGTAATCGTTAACAGACAAAACAGCGATTTGTATATAAAACTTTTAAACAATATTATATCACAGTGCTAGCTATAAATACAACGTTTAAAAGAGAGCTGAAAACGAGAGCTAAACCAGTGCTTCGTTGGAAAGGGAAAGAACATCGAACGAAATACACAAAAATTATACATTCTGCGAGAATCAACGGGACCGAGGCTCCATCTTTGCTTTTGCCATTAATAATGCAGAAAGAGTGAGAGAGAGAGAGAGAGAGAGAGAGAGAGAATGGAGGCAGAGGGGAGAGTGGGAGGAAGGAAGAGAGAGAGAAAGAGAGCTTATTATGCTACGCATTCGAAGATCGGATGGAAACAATATTCACGATAAAACGAAAAACAAGCACGTTTTATAGTTACGACATCACTAAAAACGTTACCAAGTGCGCATGAAAATATCTCGGTTCTTCCTTATCACATGTGCAACGATTTTCGCACCTGTCTGCCTACGGAATATTCATCACTCCGTTTCTTTTTTTGTTTTTTTTTGTCCTTTGTAAAACAACACGACGACGCTTTTATCGCCATTGTCGTGTTCTTTTTTTTTTTTTTTTTTTTCTTTTCTTCTTGCCCTTTTACCTCCTTTTCTTTTTCTTCTGTTTCACATCTTCATACGGTAACGTGTGTACGTATGTACGTTCGTCGTGCTCGTCCCATCACGTATGTACATGTAAAAAGCGACTGGCTGCCGATGATTGACTGGACCGTATTACAGAAGACAAAACGAATCAACCATCCATTCGTGATGTCGCCGATGACATCGGAGGGTACGGGTTATGTACCAAGGCCGGAATTCCAGTTGCGTCAGGCTGCTGACTGGTCGAAACCGAGCAAGAAATCGAGTGTTGCTATTTCTTGGTTGGCGTGCCTCGTTGCGTCAAACCTTCGAATCGTTTGAACGTGTAATTAATGAACACCCAGTCCTTGTATATTACCTCTCCGTCTTGAGGCATCGGCGCTGACGCTGTAATCGAAGACGAGAAAAGAAAAGGGAAAATTACACTCGACCTTGAGTTATTGGGGGAAAGTAACCCAAGTGCTCCCCTCGTCTTTTAATACTTCTTCGTGCAAGTGTAATGGTAATTAAAAAACGTTCAGCGTACTTACGTATTTCCAATTTCACGTCTGGAAATTCATCGAAATTGGAGGTGTCGTCGATGGAACGTACTTCGACTGGAATTGCGGCTGGCCTTTCCCTGATATGTTCCCAATCGACGCCACGAAAGAACGGAGCTAGTTTAAGCTCTTCAATGCCTCTTTGCGCACCTGCGAGTAATCAATTTGAAGTAAGAATCGCACGAATCTTTTTTTTTTTTTTTTGTTCAAAAGAAATGTCAATTTTAAAACGAAATAACATAAACAGTGATGAAAGTAACAGAAGGATGGGTATGGATCCAATCAGAGATATTAACCTAGTCTCCTATCAGCTTCACAGCAGAATCTAATTATAGTATCTTTCGCTTCTTCGCTGATGGGAACTTCTGGCGGGAAAACTAAAGTCTCTCTCCAATTCATAACTTTCCTATAAGTTTCTTGGGGGTTTTCACTGCAAAAGGGAGGATATCCTGAAATAAACACGATGGTTATTAATGAGACTCGCCGTGGGAAACGCCGAGAGCAAAGAAAATAGGAAATATTCAGTACCTATGAGCATCTCGTACATGATAACGCCCAAGGACCAGCAGTCGCAAGCAGGTCCATAACCAGTTTGCAAAAACACTTCCGGAGCTATGTAATCGGGTGTTCCTACCGTACTGTAAGCCAACGCTCTCCTATTTCTTTTCCAGCTCTCTGCTCTCCTTTTACTATCCATCGCTCCGCCACTTCCGCTTCCGCACGATGTCACTAGTCAACAAAATAATCAAAGCTTGATAATCGAAACAAACGACAGACAGAGCATTAAACACTGAAAACTGTTTAAGATCGAAGTACGAAGACTGTATCAGAGAAATGAAAGTACAGGGAGCCGGAGCAAACGTGTAACAAAATAAAGACCACAAGTTTTTATCGATCGAACTTTACGAAAGATTACGAGCTGGTCATTTTGTTTATTCTAATGTTAAAAAACAGAAAACAAAACAATACTGGAAACGTGTATTAGAAACAACAATTAATATAGAGAAGCGGAAAAGTTGTTACTCACTGAAATCGGAAGGTTTCGCTTGACTGAGATCTCTATAGAAATCGGTTCTGTGAGACTTTTTCAAACCCGTACATAACCCGAAATCAGAGAGTTTTATATGACCCCGTGCATCCAGTAACAGGTTGTCCGGTTTGATATCTCTGAAAAAAAAAAAAAAAAAAAAAAGTTATTAAACGATCAATCGGTAAATCGGGCTGCATCATGTTTCATTTTTACTCTCATCATTCTTTTTTCCTTTGGTGGCTTTTATAAATTTGTACCTATGAATAAATCCCAGCTTGTGAATGGAATCGATCGCTAACGCCGTCTCCGAGATATAAAACTGTGTGCATTCTTCGGAAAGCGTATCCTTCTTCATCAGCAGTGTCATCATGTCACCTGCAAAAACATATTCTGATGATTCCCCGTTGTATTTTCTAAGTAACGCACGAGAAGGACATTAGTTCTAATTTAATAGAAAATTGAGAGAAGATAAATATTTATTGTAATTACATTATTTAATGAATAGGCTGCGGATTTTTATGTATCTATGGACCTCTGTACATATATAATGTAAAATTCTTACATATACAAAAATAGAAATTCTTTTCTGGAAAATAGTATTACAGCATTATAGTATGTAGCATAATATAATAGTATATAATGGCACAGTATCTGAATTCTTATAGAACAACAAAATAAAATAGAAAAACAGAATACTAAAAAAGTTGTTTCTTCTTGTCGTAAATTATTAAAATTCAACTAGGGGCCAAGGATGCAAGAATACGCGGGGCACGTAAAATATCGAAAAGTAGAGTAACTGTTGTAATATTTTTATAGATTATACTTTTCAATAGAGTAACTGTTGTAATATTTCTTTTAGATTATACTTTTCAATCGTGTCCATAAGAAATTGCATAAAGTTTAACAAACCCAGTAACGAAATCAAAACTCTCAACTGAATCTATATTATATCTTAGCATACATTTTGTTGTAGCGTTAATTTGCAAAGAAGAAAAATGTTAGAGAGGAAAGAAGAGATGAAGTGTTAGAAGAAATTTAACAAAAGTAACAGATACAAGTGTGGAGCTAGCATAGAAACGATATTAAAAATGAAATCTTACCGCCTGGAAGAAATTCCATGATTAAATACAAATTTATAGGATCTTGAAAGCTATAATACATTTTTACGACCCATTGATGATCCGCCTCTACCAGAACGTCTCTTTCCGCCCTCACGTGCGCCACTTGCTCCTTCTCCAGCATATCGGCTTTTCTTAAAATTTTCATCGCATACACGTGTCCGGTGTCCTTCTTTTGCACGAGTCTTACCTTTACGATATACAACGACAAGATTACAAACATAGGTACTTTTAAATCGATCGATATATCTCTTAAAGAGGGACAGACTTAATTAATTAATTTACCATTGATCAATGTATTATCCTACTTGTCTCAACGTTATCTTGAAATAATCGTTCGAACAAGCAAGCGATTTTTTCCTTTAAATTATTTCATTGTTTGGCAATCAAATAAAATGGTCAAATAATGAGCATTTTACCTCAAATAAACATTAATTCGTCCCCGTAAATAATTTTTCTCAAACTAGGATTATTTCAAGTCGAAGATTATTTATTGAATTTGCTCGCAGGATGACGTTACCTTTGCCGTTTCATTTTTTCGAATAGAAACGACAAATTAGCGAAAATAATCTTACCTCTCCGAAAGCACCTCTGCCGATAACTTTCAGAGGCTCAAAGTCTTCGACACCGAGCCGAGAACGTTTCAAGCGGAGAAATTCAGTTTCTTTCTGGGCATGTTGCAGCCGTTTCTCCTGCTTCTGCTGCTCCGACAATCCCTCGTCTTTCAACGATTCTTCCAACTTTGCGAGCCTCTGCTTTCGTTCGATATGCTGAGCTATCAGATTGCTGTAGTAATTCTCCAATGTTACCTACAATGAAAAACATATAATAAATGTCGGTAGAAGATGCAGACTATCAATATCGCTCACATATTCTAGAAAATAGAATCTCTAGTTAAAATAATCGTACGCTATTCTTAGTTATCACGTATTCTTTATATAGAGTTAAAAGTTCCCTAATTTGACTACCTATTGTAATATAGAGATATGAATTATGCTTTTTGTTGAGTAATTTTGCCTACAATTTTGTGCATAAGATCTAAACTTTCAAGGGAAGGTTATATCTTTAACGTTATAAGTATTTATTTGATACTTATATTTTGTTTATTACACCTAAATAGTTGAAACTAAAACTTAAAAGCTTAAATTGAACTATCTAGCAGTTAGTTAAGTTGCAAATTGAGTTTCTCGAGGATATATTCTTCAAGGAAACTTGTAACGCGATCGCTAGAAAAGGCTATTTTTAGAGAAAGAATAATAAAAATTTCGAATCTTTTATTTATCTTTTATAATATGTAAGGATTGAAAAACTTTCTGAAACAATGAAAAATAGATATATCCCATTTCAGGAATTAGAACAAAAATTCAAGTGTGAAACCAGTTTTTAAAATTTTTTGAAACTACTGACACTCCTCTGAAAATATTTTCTCGTGACCGGTCACACAGCATTTCACTCCGTTTTATTAGATTCATATATCAATGACGATACTCTCTGAAATCACTCTCAAATCTCTCAACACGTTTCCAATCTGTATTCCCGGTTGAGCCACAATATATAACTTTTCCTTATCTACGCACGTTGTCCGTTGAACGTTAACTTAGAAAACGGTGGACAGAAAAAAAAGGAAAAGAATGACAAACGTAGAGAGCAGCGGTAAGAGAAAGAAAGGACTCACCTTGGCCTTAGTAGCCTTGTCCAATGTATGGCCGCTGAAACGGATCGTGCTCTCTGTGGCCGCCATCTCCAACACCCCTGTAATACATGCAGAAGGAGGTCACTGAGTGTCACACCGATCTCCAGAAGCGAGGCCTCGCGCCGTGACAATGACACAAATCCGTTCGCATTGAAAATCCCTCGTTTTAATTAAAAGCCCCGACACAAGGAAGGATCAGCAACCAGGAATTTCAAAAGCTGATCGATTTGTTGCGCAATCGGCGGCCGTTTCATAAGTGGTTGTTTCACGAAACGGCAAATTCTTTTCCCTTTCGTAACAATACGTTGTAATCACGTCGTGTGTGTTCATTAGACACGCGCATATATATATTCGTTGCAATTTCAAACTGAGACTGGCGGGGACAGAGGCAAGAAATAAATTCTAATCAATTAAATATTATTACTTTCGTAAAGTTACTGTTCTATTTTACAGTACTACTCTGTAAGTATTCTTTTGTATTCTACGAATTCCTTGTTAACCCTTTTAACCCTCTTTTGAAACATCCTTTGCACCACCTGTCGGCAGTATCACTTCGAATAAAACGATCGTCCTGTACAAATGATATTTAGCATGAAATTTTGCTAATTACATTTCTCTAACGTGTGATGCATCAACGTGCATTGAGAGTTTGCTAGAACAAGTACAGTATATATAGGAGATGATTATACATATACATTATACATACTTTCAATCTCCCGAAATGTAATTTATGTCAATTATATATATTATTCTGGGTTATTCAAATTATTTCAACGAGTGTCAATTGGCTCGCGCCTCTTTCCTCAGGAATTTCTTTTGTGCTTCTTACGTCATTATTATAGCTTTCACTCTACGCGTTTGTGCAGACGTTATATCATACAACACCAAACATACACGTTCTACGTTCATTATAATTATCAGCAACTATAAAAAGGGAAAATTCGAACTGTTGTCTAGATTTAAATTAGATATCCCTTTAGAAGAGACAGTCGTGGGTTAATTAACTTAAGTTAATTTAACTTCAATAATTCCCCAATAGAATCGATATACGTATTTATAAGCAAAACTGTATCTTTTCGTAGGTACAAAGCAATAAATAAAGAATATTGAAAAACATTGTGAATTTCCATAAACAGTGACACGACGAAAGAAATGTACTTGATAAAAATTAACGAGAAAAGAGCGATTGATTCTTCTGAGTTCATTCTACAATGAGAAATATAATAAAATATAAATAAATAATTATTATATATATTATAATTAAATAAATTTTTTAATTGGAAATTAAATGTAATATAAAATTTATACTATATATATATA